AAGACGTTCAGTAATGGATGATCGGATTAAGAAAAGCGCAGAGCTATCAACCGATCACCACCTTGATGTTGGCAAGCTGCGTTGTAAGAAGTGGAGTACCACACGAAAATTTGGTGGCAGAAGCAACCAGAGAAATAAATGGGAAACATTATCTCTGGTGGACACGAGGGGGAAATTTGCAAACAACGTAGCACGACGGTTTGAATACATCTTTGAAAATCACTTATGTGGAAACCGAGTAACAGCTCTCTAAAAGCGGCATACTCGAGGCTACCGCCAAATACTGCGGATATAAATGGGTTCACCTATTGCGTGGTAAGAAAAGATCTTCCTGGTGGACAAGGGAGGAACAACTTGCAGTTAAAGAGAAGAAGGTAGCGTTCAAGAAATGGCTTTAAAAAATAGCAACCTACTCGCGTGCGATATGTCAAGGCGGCAGCAAAAGCAGTGGCGTAAGCCAAAGCTGATTCCTTGTAGAAGTTCGGTGAGGTGTTGGAGTCAAATTTCCACATGGCAAGCAAGATATTTTGGCAGGCCATCCACAGGCACTGAGGCGAAATGAAGGGCAGTCTAAGAGTTATGAAGGAGAGGTCTGAACACCCTCTTACCAAGGATGCTAGCATTCTTCGGCAATGGAGAGAGTGCTTTCAGATACTCCTTAACCTGGACCAACTGCAGGAAGACCCGCTTGTAAAGTTTCAGGAAGCGAGTATCACTATCTCTGTAGATGGAATTCCACAAGCTACGAAAAGCTTAAATAGTAGAATGGCTGCTGGCGTTGAAGAAATCCGCCCTGAAACGCTCAAAGCATTAGGGGAACAAGGCATGTGCTGGCTTACACGTGTCTGTCAAACTGCGATGACTATGGGAAAGACACTAGCGGACTCGAAAAGAGGAGTTGCTGTACCCCTGTTCAAGAGCGGAGACACAGGGAGTGATCCAGGTATAGGTGCTTTACGTTATTGAGCCTCCCAGGTTAAGTCTACGCAAAGAAGCTAGAAACGAGGTGCCCTCGGGATGACTGATTCCAAGATACAAGAAGCGCAGTGTGACTTCCGGCCCTGTCGAAGCACCTCTAACCATATGTTTGCCCTGCGCAAGGTTGTTGAGAAATGGTCGAGTACGCCGGGCGGTGTACATGTGTTCGGTTGACCTAGAAAAAAGGTATGATTGGATCCCACGCAACAGTCTGTTGTCATGCCTTCGAGCGTACGGGATAGATGGCCAACTCCTAAGAGCCATCCAATCAACGTATTCTGAGAAGAGGTGCTGCGTCAGAGTAAATGGCGTTAAGTCGAAACGTTACAGTGGTGGCACCGGTCCCCGACAAGGCTGCTCCTGTTTGTGTTGTATGTGAATAGAATAGTGAAGAGTAGCCAAGACAATGAATGTATCGATGTAGGAACGTGAGGACTGGATGGTTGCGGTTTGCAGTAGACTCTGCTATACTGATATCTTCTGAAACTGATCTACAGTGCTCCCTAAAAAGGTTGACAGCCGAGTGCGACTTGACCGGCATGCGTGTGAACGCATCTAAAACGAAAAGCCTAGTGGTTTCTCGTTCTCCCGCCCGTCGCTTTCTTCAGATTAACGGAAAGGCAGTGGAGCAGGTGGAGAAGCTCAAGTACT